ATCCTGGCCGCTGCAGGCCAGTCCGGGAACCACTCGCTGCTCCCAGACTCCCGGGAATTCACGAGCATGGGTGCGAGGGGCGGCCGACCGGGAGGCCGAGGCTCAGAGCCAAAAAGCTGCTCTACTGGGGCCTGCCCGTCCTCCCGCACCCCTGCCTGGATGGCCCTTTGCCTCCCTCCCTGCGCTAAGAGGGCAGTGTCATGCCTCAGGTGGACAGGACCGATGGAGGCAACCTGCCCTTGCTCTTGCTGTGACCGTCACTCTCTAGGTTTAGACTGAGAGAGTTCAGAGTGTTTCCTCAACTGGGTCCCCTTTACAGGGCGCAGGTTTCACTGTGAGAGGAGGGGGCAGCTGTGAGCACACAGGATTGTGTCATCTCCTCAAGTCAGGTTCAAAACCTATGGGTTGGATCGGTGGGAAAGGAGACACGTAATACTTTAAACAGTTTAAAAATTTCAATTTCATTTAACTTAAAAACACCATGGATTGGGTGCTCTGGGGAATTGGGGGACACACCCAAGGCCGGCGGATCGGCCCTGCCTCTCTAGCGCAGGCTCAGGGCTTATGGGCAAGTCCACGTGCTGCTGAAGGGACTGTGAGGACGAAGGGGACATGCCCCCAGACACCACGTGTCACTCCTGGTCGGCTCCTGACTGACTGCAACATGTAGGGACTGCTGGAGCCCAATCCCGCATTGCATGTTATATAGCACTTCTGCACCGAAGTTAAATTCCTGGGAATAAACATGGGATGTTGGTCACGCAAGAGACTGTCCTTGAGCTTAGAAGACACTTGTTTAAATAGTCAGGAGTGAGCCCGGCTGGTGTGGCTCAGAGGTGGAGCGCCGGCCCACGAAGCAGGAGGTCAATTCCCGATCAAGGCACATGCCCGGGTTGCAGACGCAATCTCCATTAGGGGGCGTGCAGGAGGCAGCGATCGATGCTCCTCTCTTTTCCCTCTCCTTTCCTCTCTCTAAAAATCAATAAAAATATATTTAAAATAAAAAGAATACTCGGGAGTGAAACGTCACTGTGTCTGTGAGTGACGTGACTATGAGGTGTTCACTGGGGGGTAGGCACTGGCCCTCTGTGCAGGAATGAGCGCAGCAAAGCAGGGGAAGGTACCCAGGACGGGGGCGGCCTGGCGATGGCCCGCACTCGGGGACAGCTGCACGGAGAGCAGGCTGGGGCCCCGAGGCCTCAGGAGGCTGTGGCACTCAGTACTCGGCAGGCGCCGGCAGGACGCGGGCAGGACCAGGACGCGGGCAGGACCAGGAGGGTGGCAGGTGGAGAGACTCGGGGTTCGCTAGGCTCAGTGCTGGCTTGGATGTGGGGAGAGGGTATACAAGGGTCAAGAGCTCCTGTTTGTGACATGACTTCCAGGCACATGGAGGGGCCACCGTCAGAGGCAGGGACCTGGGGGAAGCCGATTCCCAGGGGAGACGGCCAGGGGCTCGGTTGCAGACATCTCATTAGAGTCCCAGGATTTTGCCCAAATAACCGTGAAACCAGAACTCCGACCTCAGCGATGCCAGCCAGGCGTGCTGGGCAGGAATGGGAGACAAGGATTTTCAGCCTGGCTGGGGGGAGGGGGACAGAGACATAAACGGATCGTTATATGGGGCCAAGGAAAACTTGAGCTGAATGCCCAAGGACTAGCAGGAGCTGGACAGCTAAGAGTGTGAGGCAGAGGCACAGATGGCAGGGGGTGGGGGGAGAAAGACATGAAGGTGAGAGAGAGTTACTGGGCTGAGTGTATTAGTTTCAGGTTGCTGCTATAACAACTTACCACAAACTTAGTGGCTTCAAACAACATACCTTTATTCTTTTCTACTTCTGGAGGCCAGAAGTCTAAAAACAGTCTCACTGGGTGTTTTGGACTGAATTATGTCCCCCACAAATTCATACATTAAAGCTCTACCCTCCATTGAGACTATATTTGCAGAAAGGGCATTTAAAGAGGTAAACCAGGTCATAAAAATGGGGCGCTAATCCAATAGGAGTGGTGTCCTCATAGGAGGAGGAGACACTAGAAGGACCCCCACATACACACACACATGCACACGCACACACACGCAGAGATAAAATGTCATGTGAGGACGCAGTGAGGAGGTGGCCGTCCACAAGCTAGGGAGAGAGACCTCATCAAAAAGTGACTTTTCTGGCACCTTGATCTGGAACCTCCCCAGCCTCCAGAATTGTGAGAAAGAACCGTCTGCTGTTGAAGCTCCCAGTCTGTGGTGTCTGGTTATGGCGGGCCAAGCAGACGAATACTCTGGGCGGAAATCAAGGGGTCAGGAGGGCTGTGTTGCTCTTGGAGGGTGTAGCGGGGGGACCCGTGGCCTCGCCTTTCGCAGCTCTGCCTCAGTTCACTCCGCCACTGTTCCCATCGTCACATCTCCATCTCTGACCTGGGCCCTCCTGCTACCCTCTTCCAACGGTCCCTGCCATTGCATGGCCCACCTGGATAACCCAAGGTAACCTCCCACTCGCGGTCTTTAACTCTCATCGCATCTGCAGAATCCTTTTTGCCGTGTGAGGTCACATGGTAGCGAGTTCTGGAAACAGAGGCCTGTCCGGAGGGCCAGTATTCTGTCTACCACACTGAGCTCAGCCAAAGAGAAGCTTGTGTGTGTGAATGTGGGGGAGTGTTGGGACTTGGGGGGCCATGAGAATGCAGAAAGAATCTGAGGTCAAGACCTGGTGTATCGGGCCTAGTTTTTAAAAATCAACTTGAACTGGTTCCTCCTGAGGACACCCGGGCCATTCCAGCAGGGAGAGCAGCAGCAATAACCCCTGCAGGCTTGTTTCTCACTCAACGGAGCCAGACACCCAACTCCAACCAGCTTGAGGGGGAGGGAGGGAGACCTATTTGTTTTCTACCTGAAAACCATACATGGGCCAGCTTCAGCTGCAGGCACATCAAGATCCAGGAGTTCAGCCCGGCCGGTGTGGCCTATGAACCAGGAGGACACAGTTCGATTCCTGGTCGGGGCATGTGCCTGGGTTGTGGGCTCGATCCCCAGTGTGGGGTGTGCAGGAGGCAGCGGATCAATGACTCTCTCTCATCATTGACGTTTCTCTCTCTCTCTCTCTCTCGCTCTCGCTCTCGCTCTCGCTCTCGCTCTCTCTCTCTCCTTTCCTCTCTGAAATCAATAAAAATATATTTTTTAAAAAAAGATCCATGAGTTCACATGACATCATCAGGTCCCCATCTTTCTCACATCTCTATGGGCAGAGAATGCGGGTCATCGAAACTCAAAGCCTCCCCACCTTCGGGCTCAGTAGCCCCCAGAAAAGAGAGCAGCTGCCCAACAACTGGCCAAAAAAGGGGAAAGTACCTGGGAGGGTTCTGATTGGCCATCTGGGGTCATGTGCTATTTCTAAGCCAATCGATGCAGTCAGACAGTTGGGTGGCTACCCTGATTGGCAAGCTCCGAGTCATGGCCCCACTCCAGGGAGAGGAGGGCGGGGTCTTGGGAATGATGGGGACAGAGGGACACTGCTTCTAGCAGAGGGAAGGGGCCCTGGGCCTACAGAAACAGCAGTGCCCCTGGGGGGGTGGCCTGGTTGAGGCCCCTCCCAGCTTTAGCTCCACAGTCATCCTCCAGGGGACCCCCAGTCTCTAAGGAAGCCTTGAATGGGCCCTTCTATCCCTGAAACCAGAGGAGTCCAACTATAGCCCGGAGGGTGGTTCATCTCCCCTCCAGGCACCGCCGTCTCCTGGGCAAGCAGCCATCTTGTGGGTTTGGCCATTAATTCTGGGGCACCTTGGTGGCTGAGGCCCCCCTCATGCCATTTATCATTTCATATCGTTTAACAATGATGTTAACCGTACAATCTCAACCTAAAATACACGTCTGGTGGATTAAAGGGAGTGTTGCTAAGACGGTTCATCTAAATTCCAACATACCAGGCCTGGACACACGGCCAGGCCGCAGAGCATCCCTCCCTAAAGCACATCTTCTACATCCAGCAGGCGCTTAGCGGATGCTTTTTGATGGAGTTAGGCCGTTAGAGAATGGAACCAAACTAATTGTCATCATCAAAAAATTAAAACTTGACCCTCTCTGGTGCCATCTCCCCTTGGGGCTTGAGAAAGAGCATCTGTTCTACAAAAATACTCTCCAGCGCCTCCCATGTGCCTGGCCCTGTGCCGGGCACTGGAGGGCAGTGCGGACAGCAGGTCCTGGGCGCCTCATCACACACACACACACACACACACACACACTCCTGCCTGAGCCCAGCCCAGCCTCCCAGCCTGTCCTCACCCCGACCCCAGGGCTGGGCCAGCCTGACCTGTTTTGCCTTCTAAGTGGAAACAGACCGCTGCAGAGGGAAGTCGGCTCAGGGCAGAACCCCAGGACTCTGGTCACGGTCACCTCTGACCACGAAGAAACAGCTGTGGTTCTCAGAAAGCTGCTGAGAACCTGGGGGTTGGGGGTGAGCTGGGGGCCCCAAGGAGGAGGGGAAGGATGTGGGGAGAATGGAGACGCTCTGAATCACAGGATCTTATTCGTGGGGGCAGATGTGGCCACAGGATGGGCTGGGGCGGGGGCGGGGAGAGGTGGCCCTGAGATGGGGAAGCTGTGCAGAAACAGGCCTTCTCACCTCCCCCCCTCCCACATACCCACTTCAGCACCCCCTCCCCAGAGCACATGCATTTCCTAGGAGACAGAAGGCAGTGCTATCTCCTAGATCAAGGGTGTGTGGAGATGGGCCCAGGCCGGGGAGGGGTGAGCTGGGCTAGTCTGTGGGGGTACATGAGTCAACAGCCCGGTGGAGCCGCCTAAATCTCACTATCACATCCCCCGGGGGCCAGGGTGGTGGCCTTGGCAGAGCCGTGGGGGCAAATGTCCCCATGTGAGCAGGGCGAGGCAGGGCAGGACCCAGCAGGCCTGGCCCCATCGAACCTGCTTCTGATTGGGCAACCAACCCGTGGCACCAAGATGGGAACCCCCACCCACGCCAACCACTGCCCCACCCCCTGGAAAAGGGAACGTCTCCCAGGTTGGAGACTCCAGGCTTTGGGAAGGTCGGGATTCATCCACCAATTAATCCCTAGAAAGGTGTGGAGGAGGGTCTGGAGGCTGGGGTGGGCCCGGGGACAGCCGGTCAGCAAGCTGGTCCCAGGGGCAGCTCCCAGGATGAGGATGGAGGGCTGCCCTGGTCTGAGGGGAGCACGGAGCAGCTCTCCCCCCGGAGCCCGGGACAGAGGCCTCACTCTTCCCGCAGCCACAGGGAACTTCCAGGGAACTGGACTTCGAGCCCAGAGAGAACGCCTCCAAAATTCCTTCGGCTGTTTCTCCCCCGTCAACCGAGCGTCTATTTATAGACATGGGAATATGCGTGGAGAAGGGACTGGAAGGAAATACACAACATGGTAACGTGTTTTTCTTCTTTTCCTTGTTGGTACTGTCTTACCAATCTCAGGATAAGAAGAAAAGATATGTTTAAAGTGTACTTGCTCTGGATATAAGTATTCATGCTTGTTATTAACAAGTGGGAAGAAGAAATTTGAAATCGCCCAGCATACATTTTGCAGTGTTTTCTGTTGCTTTCTCGTTTAGGCAGACCTGTTGGATATAGGGTTGTTGTTTGTTTAACATGGTTATAATCGTTTTACATTATCAGGAAACTTTTCTGTGACCACTAAGTCAGCATAGGATTGCATCTTTTTAAATGTCTATCTAATATTTACACAGCAGGTAAAGCCATCCTTCCTTTAGCCATTCTCCCATGTGAGCGAACACAGGCAGCTTCCAACTCTTCACTATTATAAACTAGAGGCCCGGTGCACAAATTCGTGCACGGATGGGGTCCCTCTGGGTGGCCTGCAGGGATCGGGCTGAAACTCACAATCCAATGCCACCTGCAGCTCCTACCTGCCGCTCCTGCTCATCCCAGCCCCGCTGTGCCCGCCGCAGGCTTGTGCCAAATCAGTCCCGATCCGGAGAGGCTCACACTGCCACAGCAGCGCTTGCCAGCCATGAGCCCTGCGTCTGGCGCCCTCCCAAGGGGAGTGGCCTGTGGGATCGGGCTGAAACAGGCTCTCCTGCATCCCCTGAGGGGTCCCGCATTGCGAGAGGGTGCAGGCCAGGCGGAGGGAACCACTGGTGCACGAGACCAGGCTGGGGGAGACCAGGGACCACGGGAGGGCTCCAGGGCATGTCTGGCCCATCTCGCTCAGTCCAGATTGGCCAGACCCCAACAGCAAGCTAACCTACTGGTCGTAGCATCTGCCCCCTGGTGGTCAGTGCATGTCATAGCAACTGGTCGACCAGTTGACTGTCTGCCTCCTGGTGGTCAGTGCACGTCATAGTGAGCGGTTGAGCAGCCTTAGCACATCATTAGCATATTATGCTTTGATTGGTTGTTCAGTTGTTCTGCCGTTGAGTCTATTTGCATATTACCTTTTTATTATATAGGATAACACTGTCGGGAACATCTTCAGAGGGAAAGTCTTTCTGTTCTTGAGATTCCTGTCTTCAGTCAAATTCTCCAACTTTCAGATGTGAGCTGACGGCATGAAAGGCTGCCACACACGAGGAAACAGTGAACTTGAACCCAAGTTAGTCTCACTCCCAACCCCCACCTTAAATCCTAACAAAGGGTCCAGGCCAGGGGTGGGATCTCTCCTGCTTCCCACATGCCCATCCCCACCCCCACCCCCAACATGCATGGGTTTTAGTGTTAGCAGTGGTGTCGTCTGTGAGCCCAGCCCTGGCCACGCTGGCCAGGATGCTGTGTAGGGAGAAGAGAATTGAAAGACAACCCCCTCCCCCCATATCGCTGGGGAGCTAAGGTCTGTGTGAATGAGCAGCTTGGACAAGAGGGAGAAAGCCCCGACCATGGGTGGGACGGCACATGCTCAGCTCATCCCCTTCAACTTGCCAGGCCTGTCTCCCACCCACCCCCCCACAACGTCCTTCCCGACTGGGGGGTGGGTGGGGGGAGGCTGCCCCATACACCAAGGGCGAGTGACTTCTGCAGGGACAAGGGGTCCTGGGTGGCCAGGCCCCAGAACAGAGAGGCAGCTGGCTCCTGGGAACAGCATCCCTACGCACACACTCACACCAGTGCACTCACTCTCACCCTCACCCACACTCACCTGCACCCATACTCACCCACACTCACACTCACCTGCACCCACACTCACCCATACCCACACTTACACCAGTGCACTCACACTCACCCGCACCCACACTCACCCACACCCACACTCACCCGCACCCACACTCACCCACACCCACACTCACCTGCACCCACACTCACACCAGTGCACCCCACACTCACACCAGTGCACTCACTCTCACCCTCACCCACACTCACCTGCACCCATACTCACCCACACTCACACTCACCTGCACCCACACTCACCCATACCCACACTTACACCAGTGCACTCACACTCACCCGCACCCACACTCACCCACACCCACACTCACCCGCACCCACACTCACCCACACCCACACTCACCTGCACCCACACTCACACCAGTGCACCCCACACTCACACCAGTGCACTCACTCTCACCCTCACCCACACTCACCTGCACCCATACTCACCCACACTCACACTCACCTGCACCCACACTCACACCAGTGCACACCACACTCACATCAGTGTACTCACTCTCACCCTCACCCACACTCACCTGCACCCATACTCACCCACACTCACACTCACCTGCACCCACACTCACCCATACCCACACTTACACCAGTGCACTCACACTCACCTGCACCCACACTCACCCATACCCACACTCACACTCACCTGCACCCACACTCACCCATACCCACACTCACACCAATGCACTCACACTCACCCGCACCCACACTCACACCAGTGCACCCCACACTCACACCAGTGCACTCACACTCACCCGCACCCACATTCACACCAGTGCACTCACACTCACCTGTAACCACTCACACCAGTGCACCCCACACTCACACCAGTGCACTCACACTCACCCACACTCACACCAGTGCACTCACACTCACCCTCACCCACACTCACCTGCACCCATACTCACCCACACTCACACTCACCTGCACCCACACTCACCCATACCCACACTTACACCAGTGCACTCACACTCACCTGCACCCACACTCACCCATACCCACACTCACACCAGTGCACCCCACACTCACACCAGTGCACTCACACTCACCCACACTTACACCAGTGCACTCACACTCACCCGCACCCACATTCACACCAGTGCACTCACACTCACCTGTACCCACTCACACCAGTGCACCCCACACTCACGCACACCCCACACTGACACACCCCCTCATGCTCCTGTCCCCACACGCTCCCACACGCCCACTCTCTCCCCAGGGCTCGGAATGCGGTGCCCTTGCCCCTCACAGAGGCCGCAGGGGGAGCCACTCCTGCCCAAGGAGAAGCTGGCTGACAGGCCCAGGGCCTCACTGGAGGGGCAGCGCTGCCCACGATGATGGGCGATGGGCGCCCACTGCCCCCGCAGCTGCAGCCCCGCCTCCGCTCCCTCATGGAGATGGGTGGCACCTGCTTAAGGACCAGCTGAGAGGGAGGATCCAGGGGCGAGTCCTGGCTCCCCAAGCGCAACTTCACGGGCGCCTGGACTCTGAGCCTCAGTTTCCCTCCCTGCAGGTATAGAGGCTCCTCGCAGGAAGGCAGGCGGTGAGGGGGCACCCCGCATGGGTGAGGGGACACTCCGCATGGGTGATGGGGCACCCCGCATGGGTGAGGGGGCACCCCGCATGCTGGCGCTCGTGCTGTGCATGGGGCGGGCTGCAGCTGCCTGGTGAGCGAGCGGTGGGGGGGAAGGGGGTCACCGAGCTCAGAGCTCCTCAGACTCCAGCACCAGAACAGACGGTTTCTGGGGCTGCTCCCTGCACCGCAGACCTGGGAACCCCAAGCCATGGAGCTGCGTCCGCCAGCTTCCTGCCCAGCACAGACACCCAGACAGCGGCCCCGGGCCCGAAAGGCCGCCATCACCCCCAGACTCGGGCAGTCAGCCCGCCCCCCTCCCCTCCACTCTCTCCGACCACTCCCCACCCCAGCCCCCGCCCCCCAGTCTCAGCTGCCTCTCCCACAGCTCCTGGGACCAGCTAGAACCTCAGCCAAAGGGGCCCCTTCCCTGGAGCCATCTCCACAGACCAGGTCGCGTGGGGAGGGGGGCTCCCCCGGGAGCTGCGGAGACCACGACTGGGCCCGACCAGGGCGGCCTGGGCACCAGGAGCCACCCCCGCCGTCGGGCCAGGAGCCCCGATGGCTGTGGCCTCTCTTGGCCCTGCTCCCCCCTGGTCTGGGCCAGGCGCTCCTCGGAGGGGTGCTGCCGGGCAGCCAGGGCTGGGGTCCCTGCCTGTCACACCGACCACCAAGCTGGTGTCGCCGGGAGAGAAAGACCCACGCGGTTCTCGCTGCTTTCCGCTCAGGACAGACGTGAAGCGGGGCCTGGGGCCCGGCCGGCCCCCGTCTGAGGCCCAGCAGGGGCCCTTCTCAGCCGTGTGACCGGCCTCGCTCCCGACCCTCCCGCAGCGTCAGCCTCCTCCTCTGTGTGATGGCGAGGACCACAGGCCTCCCTCTCGGACCGAGAGGTAAAGGAGCGCAGGCTGTGGAGCCGGACACAGTGGGATCGCGGACGGCCTCACGGGAGGAGCAGCGGCAGGTGCAGTGGTGGGGCCTAGTCTCACCTCCACCTGCGGCCAGTGGGCCGGGCAGGAAGCCCCGCCGTGGGGGAGGGGGCGGGGGCAGAAGCCTCAGCCCTCAGCCAGGGGTAATGGTGGGGCCTGAGCACTGAGTCTGACATAGGCTCCCCCTTCTTTGCAGTCTGGACCCCTCCCCCGCCCCCACAGACAGAAGGGGGGTCGGCTCAGCTCCCCCTCCAAGGAGCGCCAGGCAGAGCTCTGCGGGCCGCCCCCCCACCCCCACCCCCCGTGCTGCAGGGAAGGGGGTGGGATGAAGGGTAATAGTAACTGCAGCTGGTTTTCGGGGAGCAGGGGAGACAACGCCCACCTCAGCTTGGGGGGCTTCTGTGCCACTTGCAAGATTCTGTTTCCTTCCTCTCTCCTCCCTCCTTCCTCCCTCCCTCCGTCCCTACCTTCCTCTTCCCTCCCTCCTTCCTTTTGTCCTTCCTCCACTCCTTTTCCAAGAAGTCCCGGGTGGTAAATGGGTGGGTGGGTAAAAACCAGGGGACAGGTCGAAGCAGGAACCAATGAAGCAGGCTCTCCTGGGAGAGTCATACTGTTACCAAAAGGGGGGAAGTGGAGGCTGGCGGGACAGGAGTCACACAGGAACTCGGAGTGTTGCGTGCAAAGCTGGGATGAGATTCGATCTGACAAAGGCCTCTTCCTGGGTTCCTCCCGCCCTGCACTCCCAGGGGACCCGACAGCCCAGGGTGAGCCACCTCGGAGACAGTGCAGCCAGCGTGGGTCTCAGGGAGAAGGGCCCGGCCTCCCTCCTCCCCGACCCCCACCCACAGCAGGCACCCGTGGAAGATGGGGGGGTGCCCGAGGCCCCGCTTCCTGCACAGCCTCCCAGCACCTAGGCCCGGCTTTTCCGCTTGCTCAGCTGTTTTAAAACAACCCTTTCAAAGCAGCTCAGACATGGGGCTGTGGCTTGATTTGAGGTTAAACAAATACGTGCATGTATCCACCAACACTCGAGGAATGAGAGATTTCTCCAGGCACATTCCCAAGCTGTGCGCTCCAGCAATGCTGCCCCCAATTGCTGGGTTCCAGGCCAGCGCTCCCATCTCTGAAGGCATCTGGGTACTTGGGGCGGGCTCTGCGCAGAGCACAGGGACTCTGGCAGGGTCTGCGGCCGGGCACACCACCTCCTGGCAGCAACAGCCTCCCACCCCGCGCCCAGGGGACCCTGGGAGCTCCTGGGGCAGCTCCCGGCCTGTTGGGCAATGGCTCCTCTCCATCCTGGGGGCCTGCGCCAGACTGCTGGCTGCTGGGGGCAGACTGATCTAGTTCCCATGTTTTGAGGGTAGGCAAGGATGAGAAAAGGGGGGAGGGAACCCCACATTCTCAAACCAATAAAACTCCACTCCACCAGACAGGAAAGCTGAGCTCCTCCGACTGCAGGGCGCAAGGACCACGCAACAGAGAGGCGCCCCTTCCTCTTCTCTCTGGGGGACATCGGTCTTGGTGCCCAAGCTGGAAGTCTGGACCTCCCTCCTCTTGGAAATATCCTGGAGCAGAAGCAATAAGCTCGCCCACGATGCCATTTGCTCCTACTGTCCCGGCTGTGCCACGTGACCTGTGTTGGCCAATGACATTGAGCAGAAGTGACACATGTCATTGCCAAGGTGAGGCAGTAAGAAGCCCACACTCCAGTCTCTCTTGGGCCGCTATGACGATGGAGGGTTCCGGATGGTGCAGCTGGGAGGCGGGGCTTCTGTCTGCCTGGGTCCCTAGGTGAGTCTGTGGAGCAGAACTGCCTGCTGACTGGCTGGTCACACAGTGTGAGCAAGAAACAAACTTTGGTTGTGTTCAGCCAGCAAGACCCAGGGCTGATTGTTACTGCAGCAGCACCTGGCCTGCCCTGACTGCTTCAAGCTCCTGGCTCACTGGTCTACTTCATGTTGTTCGTGGGGAGATTAGCGTGCAGGAGGCAGCAAACAACACCCCACCCCTCTGGCCAACAGCCTTCATCAAAGGAATGCTTAGGAGCTAATATTCAGGGGCCCCATGGTTCCCATCTCACCAAAGCTTTAACGAACTTCTCTGAGGCTTGGGCCTGGGTCTGTGCCTTCCTTTGAATTTCTCTACAGCGCTTGGTTGAACTCGGCCATAAAGATGGCCCTCTCTCTTATCCCAAGGCATGGAGAGGGCGCGAAGCCAGTGAGGTAGGGTGTGGGGCGCAGTTACAGTGTTTTGGCCAAGTTCAAGCCTCGGACTAATGAAAGGACAGGGTCCTCTCATTGCCACGTCCAAGTCCCAGCTGGAGGGCAGGGCCCTCCCGGCACAATCATAGCCAACGGCTGTGGTTGTGAGCTTGAACCTATGGTCCAAACAGGTGGCCCCACGTGCCTTGTGATAGAGTTCGGGTGCATGTAGTTAAGTGAGGTTGAAACTCACGAGAATGCTGTAAACAACGTGATCACGCCCCTGCTTTGCCTCGTGGCATCTGCTATAAAATAAAGACACGGCTTGTGGGCGCTGGCGCTGTCTCCTCATCAGGGAGCAGCGTCCCACCGAGACCCAGCTTTCACTCTCTTGTCTGTCTTTTCTCAATCCTTTCACCCCCCCCACTCAGGATCACCCTTGGCTGAGCTGGCGTGGCACATAAGGCGCCCTGGGGCTGAGTATGCCATGGCCGTGCCGGCTCCCCACAGTAGGGTTCATCCCTATTTTAAAGACGAGAGCACTGCCGCTCAGCCAGGCTTCATGTCCTGCGAGGTCGCACAGCAACTGCAGAACCTGGCCCTGGGTCTTGTGTCTCTTGGGACAAAACCGGGATTTCTCAAAATGCAGTTCGCAGGCTCTGAGACGGGCCCTGGAGCTGTATTTTCGAAGGCCCTCGGGCAATTGCTTTGCTCGCTGTGTCTGAGAACCCTGGCGCCACATCATGCTGCCTCTTCCCTCGGACAAAGCCACCCCCGGAACAGTGAGGTCGAGGGGTGCAGCCAAGGGCCACGTCCCCAGCTGAGACGACAACCACCTGTGTCTCCCCAGCCAGACTCTCCCCAAAGAGCCGTTTCTTGGGGTTAAAATACAACAGTCCCAGAAACACCTGAACTGTCCCCGGGAAGTAACTCAGGCTATTCCCAGCTCAAAACCATTGCTTGGAAGAAGCCGCTCTGCAAAGTTCAGTTTCTGCAAGGAAACGATGAGTCAGGACCTGGGTCTGAAAGTGCAAATCCAGCTGGAAGCTGCAGGGGGTGAGGTCCTGGGCGGCAGGAAGAGGCTGCACATCCTGGGGCAGGGGTGGGGGTGGCGTGGGGTGAGGGTGAGGGTGGGGATGGGGATGGGGGTGGACTCTGAGTAGAAGGAGAAAATGCAGCTGAGGGAGGTGGTTCAAACCTCACACAAGAAGGAGGTGAGAAAGAGCTGGAGAAAAGTCTCGCCCTGGCTGCGTACTACCTGTGTGAACTTGCAAAAGTCACTTCCTCTCTCTGAACTTCAGTTTTCTCACCTGTGAAACGGAACGACTAACAGAAGCTACCTGGAGTGAGGTTGTTGTCAGCATCCGATGCACGTGTGCCTGTAACGGTTCACATCGGCCCCCTCCCGCAGGCCCACAGCTGTCCTACGTGCTGTGTATCTCACTCATTTACTCATCGCAATTGCCTTCTGATGTGGTTCTCGTTTTGCCCGCTTTATAAACAAGGAGACAGAGGCACAGAAAGTGGAATAACTGGCCCAGGGCTGCAGCGCTCCTCAGACCTCAGCGGCAAGACCCCCGTGGCCACGCGTGGCTGTGGGGGCTTCAGCGCACAGGGAGGGGGCAGCCGGAGGCTGCAGCAGAGCCCGTGGGGGGTGGGGGGGAGGCTGGGGCTCAGAACACCGGTTCCTGTGCCCAGGTCCCAGTGCAGACGGAACAGTAGCCATAACTATTCATATCATCACTGATGTTATTAATATCACTACTTGGCCTCAGCAGACGACCCACAAGGAGCATGCTGCCTGTTCTCCCCTGGGACCCCAAGAAGCTCTCCCTACTCCACACCCAGAGAAAGACTCTGGGTGGCGCTTCCCAGAGACCCTGCGTGCGCCCCAGCATCCCCCCTCAATGGGCACCGACAAAATGCCCACGGCCCCACCAGACAGCTGTCCTGGGACCAGTGCTCGGCTGTTGTATCTCGTCTGCTCTTTTAGTGCCTCTCCTAAAGTCAACAGCGGAGTTGCAAGGAGAAAAGGAAGCCAGCAGTTACTATGGGCAAGTCCCCAGATAGAGCCGATCCACGTGTGCCATTGGGCCCGGACAAGTCTGTGAAATAATATTATCGTCTCGGTTTTGCAGATGAGGAAACGGGCCTGGAGGGGTCAAATCACTCGCAGCAAACCAGCAGCACGGGGCCGCTTCGAAGGCTTGTCTGTTTGAATCCAAAGGCACTTATGAGAAGTGATGGCCAGCAGGGGCTTATAGATCTAACCCCAAAGCTAAGTCCCCTGTTCCTCATTCGTTCCTTCACCTGTTGAGTGCTTCTTAGTGGCTGTTCTGTGTTGGACGCGGGGTCAGTGACAGTAGCAACCTGGCCTCGGCTTCCTTCTGTTCAGCAGGGTGCAGGTCTATGCTAATAGTGTATTTGGAGAGATTTCTTTAAAAAAAAATATATATATATATATTTTTTTTTTACAGAGAGGGAGGGAGAGGGATAGAGAGTTAGAAACATCGATGAGAGAGAAATATTGACCAGCTGCCTCCTGCACACCCCCTACTGGGATATGCCTGCAACCCAGGTACATACCCTTGACCAGAATCGAACTTGGGACCCTTCAGTCCACAGGCCGCTGCTCTATCCACTGAGCCAAACCGGTTAGGGCTAGAGAGATTTCTATCGTCCCCAGGTTCTTTGAGGGCCGGCCACCAGCCCAGGGGCTGCTTTTTGGGGATGGGGGTGGGGGGCGGGAAGAGCCTCCTCCGGGGAGAATCCAAGCTCTGGGTGTTTCAGGAAACGTCTGACCTGCCAGGCTTCCATGTGGCTGATCAGTTAGAGCTGAGGGAGGGGGGCCGGGAGGGGAGGTTTCCCGTCAGCCCAGCTTTTGTCTCTCACATGAGCCCGAGACAGACAAACCACAACCACAGACTCGACCAGCTGTGGAAGCACCGAACAGGAAACCCAGAACATCTGGTGCTCCACTTCCTCCGAAGGCTGCGCAGTCTGGGTGTGTGTGTGTGTGTGTGTCCGCCGGTGTGCACGTCTGCTTTCTCTCCCGCTGCTGTGTAGTGGGACGAGGATGCAGACAGGGTAGGAAACCACAGGCCCTGTGGTGACAGGGCAGCCAGACACCCGTTCCCCAGCCCGTACAGAGCCTCGTCCTCAGACAGCGACCCAGGCTCTGCCCTGATTGCACAGGCCGCCCTCCGATCCCCGGCACAGCTTCAAGTCACCGTGCACTTGGAGAAAAGGATTTATTTTATTTTATGTTTTATTTTTTTGTCCTTTTGGATTTGGGTGGTTTTGGAGGAGCTTGTTTGGGGAGGAGGTGGGAGGGCTCTGCTTAAATATAACTTGGCCTCAGCACACAGACCCACAAAAAGCAGCGTCTGGATGAAAGCTGTTTTTAAAACAATTTGAGGAGAATCTGCGGACGACCTCGGAGGCCGTGGGCTGGTCAGGGGGCTGTTTTCCCACTAGTGGTGGTGTCTTCAGTGTGAGGCCTGAGACAGACAAGACTGAGAAGGGAAGAAATGTAAGGAAGTGGAAAGAAAAGATTCCTCAAACCCAGACATGTGGCTTAAGTCTCATCAGTTACCTTTAGGAGGTAGGAATTTTATATTTATTTTTATTGATTTCAGAGAGGAAGGGAGAGGGGGGGAGTGAAAGAAACATCAATGATGAGAGTCACCAATAGGCTGCCTGCCACGCACCCACCACTGAGGATGGAGCCAAAAACCCAGGCAGGTGCCCCAACCGGGAATCAAACCATGACCTCCTGGTTCATAGGTTGACATTCAACCACTGAGCCACACCAACCAGGCTGGAGGTAGGCATTATTATGCCCATTTTTATGAATCATGTATAATCCAAGCCGTGCCTGGCACACAGTTGTGCCATGTTTCCTGAATTAATAGTGAAGTGAGCTGTCACCTATGGGGGAACTGTCATCATCACCATACCCAGGGCTCAGCATACTGCCCAGGACAGTGGGTACTTCATAAGTTTCAGAACCATGACAATTCATTTACCTGCAGGCCATGTACTTAGCCAGGTGGACTGTTTGGATCCAAAATACCACGTGCGGGCATGCACGTACAGTGCAATTGAAACTTCGTGACCCGTGCACAGAAGTCGGTATTTTGTGGAAGAGCTGATATTTTGTGGAAGAGCCACACTCAAGGGACCAAAGAGCCTCATGTGGCTCGCGAGCCGCGATTTGCCAAGCCGCAGTTTGCCGACCACTGAGAGAACTCAGGTCCTCAGGAGGAATCTGGTTACCTTTACCAGATTCTGGTTACCTTTACGTTACAACTAGTGCAGAAGAGTTTGCTTGCTGATCTTGCAAACATCGGTTTAGAAAGGACTATCAGTGGTTCTCAACCTTCTGGCCCTTTAAATACAGTTCCTCATGTTGTGACCCAACCATAAAGTTATTTTCGTTGCTACTTCATAACTGTAATGTTGCTACTGTTACGAATCGTAATGTAAATATCTGATATGCAGGATGGTCTTAGGCGACCTCTGTGAAAGGGTCGTTCGACCGCCAAAGGGGTCGCGATCCACAGGTTGAGAACCGCTGGTAGGTGGTCTGATAGAGGAAGCTTGCTGGCAACAGCAATTTGGGGATTCAGCTGGCATTTTCAGACTGGTAGGTGGTGTATGGATGCAACGAGGCATGCGCCAGAAGAGGTAAGAGACTAACCAGAAGTGAAGGAACTGTCTGATTCTCGGACATCTGCCCTCAAAATAGCACCCAGAAAGCCAGCGGGACTGGCACCCCCGAGGACTTCTCCGGCTAAAATTAAAGGCGCGCCAGCGAGGGCTGGCAACACGAGCCAATCTGAGGTGACACATGCGCAGTGTCCCAGACTGGGGAGCCCTCTCTGCAGAGCCCTGTCTTCCGAGCCAAAGCCGATGTCATTTTAGCGCCGCTGGGTGCGTGACGTCATCCTAGCGCGCCTCCGCCGTGCGGAAGCCCTGAGCTGGGACTGGCGTAGGCGTTGCTGTGGAGACGGTGCGTTGATCCCCGCCCCCGAGAGCGGATTGGAGGAGAACTGGTCAGCTGACGTTGGTGAGGTTCCGGAAGCGCGCGAAAGGTCGTGTGTCAAGCTCTCCGCGTGGGTTCCCTTGGCAACCCGGACGCTCTCGCTCTGTCCGG